AACTAGATTTTACTTCTACAGTAGTGATGTCTAAGGTGGGGCTTGAGGGGCAAGTAGGACGTATGGTTCTCTTTCATCCATTAGTTATCAGATAACTAAGTTGATTGAAGAAATGTGTAAATGAAGTATTTCAACATGTCTTCACTGAATCTATGAATTAGTGTTGATGGTAATCTGTTAATTTATTCTGTGTAATTCCCATCAAAATCCCAGCAGGTTTATATTTGAAAACTGCAAAGGCCCCAGAATAGCTAATACAATATTGAAAAGAATAGCTTACAGCTCTTCTAATCTGTCAGATAGCAAATTTACTCTAAAACTGTGCTAAGAGAATGTTATTGGCACAAGGACAAACAGATCAATATAATAATATAGGATATCCAGAAACACACCCTAATAAGGAAGGTAAACTGATAAATGACCAAAGTGCCTTGTAAATTCAGTGGGGGGAAGATTATCATTTTAATAAATTGTGCCAATATTGAGATAGAACCTTGATTCTATCTCACACCATCACAGAAATTAAATTTGAAACGGAGCAGTGCAAATATGAAAGTTTAAACAAATTCTGTAGAAGGAAAAATATATGTAAATATCTTTGTGACCTTGGGTGGTTTCAGATTTCTTAAATGGCAAAGAGCATTAACCTTCCAAGTTTATATCATGTCCCTTTATGTAAATTGTCTATTAAGGTAGTGAAAATACAGTATACAGGCACTGCAGTTTATATACTAGAAGTCTCATTCAGATTATATATAAAGAATTCCTACTACTCAATAAAAAAAGAAAACTCAATTTTATAAATAGATAATAGACTTAAGTGGACAAGTCACAAAGAGTATATCTAAATGATTCATAAATGGAAAGATAGAAATTAATAAAGTAAATTAACCACTTACAGTATGACTGAAATTCAAAACTGACAAAACTCCATGCCTGTGTTAGGAAAGCTTTGGAGTAGCTGGAACTCTTAAACATTGGTAGTAGAATAAAACCGTTTGGAGAAGTTTCTGTATGTCCTAATAGAAGTACAGCCCCATATGTACCAAGAGTCATACACAGGATTTTATTGTCTAATGGTTTTATTTTAACGGTCCAAAATTGAAAATAGCTAGATGTTAGTCACTAAGAGAATGAATAATTAGGTTATTATATAATGAAAGTACAGCAGTAAAATAGAACTGACAACTGCTGCATAAGCCACACAAGCTGTACACTTGTGATCTGCATACTTTTCTGCACATGAATACCTGCCAATAGAGTTTACAGAAACTCACTCCTTCATGGTGTAGTCCCCAGATCATCGTACAGCTTGCAAGCAGTCACTCAAGGCACAACTGGTCTTTCTCCACATGGAACAGAAAGATAGGAGAGTCAGGATTAGGAGGAAGATACAGAATGTGTATCTTTGGCCTCCATGAACAACTGCCTCCTTTGCCATGAGGCAAGAAGACTGTTCCTCAGCTACCATTACTGAACAATCTTAATCAAAGATGGCATAGAAAAATCTGGATTAAAAGGGGGAATCTGCTCAAGTACTGTAGTGTGAAAGCAGCCATAAACAATATGTAAACTAGTGGGTGTGACCATGTTTCAACAACGTTTTATAAAGAACCCATTAAGCTATAGCTTGCAGACCTGGATGTGATAGAAGTTTAGACTGTATTTATTGGTGACAGGATGGAGGAGGAATTGGTATTGATGTGTTATTGGGTAGCTATTGCTGCATAACAGCCAAATGTGTAGTAACTTAAAACAATAACATTTATTAGTTCAATGGTTCTGGTTGGGGGTTTTAATAAGGTTGTCAAACTATGGCTGTCTAAAAACTTGTCTCTAGTGGAGGATCGTCACTACCCTTGATGCCTCCATTCCTTATTACATACACCCGTGTTACATTATGACTGCTTATGACTGTTCTAATGACGTGGCAGCTGGCTGCCCCAGAGTGAGCGATCCAGGAGAAAAGGGAAAGAGGAGGCACAAGTTGTTGAAACTTCTATTAAAATATCATCAGGCATCCTTTGGTAGTTATTCTTTCAAAAAGTAGAGAATGATTCCCCCTGAATGTGGGCTGTACTCATCTTCGGTGTTCTTCTTTAAGTTAGAGTATTTTTGTACTCTGTATGATCTCGTAGCTGTGAGTACTAAAATGAAACTTGTATTTACAGAGGCTGTTGGAAGCTGCTTGGGAGAGTTGGGCCCTATCGATTTCTCCACCATAGCCATACAACATAGTAAAGATGCATCTTATAATAAGGCCCTTGAGTTATTTGAAGATAAAGAACTTCAGTGGATTTTCATACTGCTGACCCACCTGAATAATACCCTAGTAGAAGATTGGTGAGTCTTTAAGGATAACTTATATCTGATAGCATTTATTTAATCTGACATCCAAGGAGAATTAGTATTTCCAATAATTAAAGCTTTCTTTAAGTTCTCATTCATTCAAAATATATTTTTATGTAAATCCCTGTATTTTCACTAATTCTTACTGAGATCCTATTCTATATTTGGTCCTGGATATGGTAACAAGCATTCTAGACTAGCCCTCTGTTCAATTCTAGTTAGAGTAGACACTAATCAAATTGTAAGAAAATAGCAGTGACGTTAAATTCTACACAAAAAATTAATAGAAAGATAAAAGGTCATCGATGCTATAAGCATTTGCCTGCTCTGAGATGACACCATACTAAGCCAGCTTTAATTTGATTATTTTAGAGTCAAACATAAAATGGGTGTTTCATAACCCCAAAAGTTTTAGGCACATCAGAAAGTTTTTTACTGCCTACTTATTCTTTATGCAAAAATATTAAAATAGCAGCCTGGAATTTTAGCTTTCTTCGTGTGAGATTTCTCCCCTCCTCTCCTTTTCTAAGCATTTTATTAGGAGCTCTTACAGATATCGTTACAATCCATAGCTCCATGAATTATGCTTGATCTACTAGTTGTGAGATTTCTTTTTTGTTTGTTTTTAACTTGTATATTGAACACCCATTGCCATCCTTGTTAAGAAGTGTATATGAGGCCTCTGCCCACACTGGGCATCTTTTGGAGGTAAGGCTGTATTTTGACTCTGATGCCCACCATTTGCTCTCCCTTATCTTTGGAAATACATGATTTGCAATGATGATACTTAACGTGTTAGAATTGTTGAATTAATAGTCTTTCTTTAGTCATTTTTGTTATTTTAAACAATAGAGTTGGCACCGTTTTCTCACCGATATTTTATTATAAAACTTCAAGCACATAGCAAATTGAAATAATTTTACTATAGAAATCATTTATGAAGAATTTTCGAAAAGTCCATGGAAAAGCAGATCTTATACCAAGGGCTCAAATAGAAAATGTTTTGGAAATTATGATGGCAACATATGTACAAACATGCTTGATACAATTGATGTGTGGAATGTTATAAGAGCTGTAAGATTCCCCAATAAAATGATGTGAAGGAAAAAAAAAGAGCCATGGAAAAGTGGAATTAAAAGGTAATGGAGGTTTCCTACCAGCTTTCTGAAACCCGTGGTAGATCACCTAAAGAGACATGGTTAAGCATGCGGCTGTGTTATTAAAGATCAGGGGTTTGAATTCACCAATTGCTCTGTGGGAGAAACATGTGTATTTAGCTTTTGTAAAGATCCACAGCCTTGGGAACTCTATGGGGTAGTCTGCTTGCCTGTAAGGGCCCTCTGAGTTGGAATCAGCTCATTGGCAGTGGGTTTGGGTTTGGTATCTGAATATAAACACACTTGCTTCCCAATATAATTAAAAAATAAATTTGGAAGCAATAGTTATCTTTTGAAACCATAATATGTTTTCATTACATGGGAGGCAGAGGAAAATGGTGACACACCACCAGCAGGGGACTTGGGTGCCGCTGTCAGCTTAGCCACTCAGTAGCAGCAGATGGGATAGCTCACCGACTGCCTCGTCTCTCCTCTGTGGGAGCAGCACAAGTCGCCACACAACTGATCCCCACACGAAGTAAAATTTCTTGTTTCCCCCAAACCACTTTACTGGGAGTTAATACAGATAACGTATCATTCCATCATTCAATCACAGCAACAGTATGGTACAATTGCTACCACAGTTTCAAAACATTCTATTTGTTCTTGAACTCCTTGAAATCAGCTCCCTTCTACTCCCCTCCAACTACCACCACAGTACTTGGTGTCCCTGTAGGTTCATTAATCATGGGTTTCATATACTGAAAAACAGAAAAAAACCTATCATAGAAATTTAAGAGGATGACCCCCAATGACATACCACATCTAAGATAAACCCCCCAAAAAACAAAAATACAGAAAATGTTGAAAACCAGATCAGGCTTAACGTGCATTCGAGGGCGATCAATTTACAAGGTTTTCACTGTTCAAGGAAGCTTTATCATTTTGATCTCAGTCCTCTCTCCATTGCACTCTCTTTAGTAACCACTTTCCCCCCATCCTGTTACAGGTAGAGGGAAATCACCCGAGGCTCATTTCTGTCTAGTTCCCACAGATGACTCTTGGCCCCCCCCCCATCATCATAGCCTCTGCAAACAGGGTTCTCACAATTTAGGCTCTCAAACTGTTCCCTCCTTCGCCTTCGGATTATGTGATTTACAATCCTTTGCTGAGTGATGTTAGTGTGCTGATGCTGATTTTAAAATGCTAAGACCACAGTACTTTATTGACTACCAATTTGTTCCACTAATAGTGTGTATTATTCGCATTTCTATTAGGACAAAATTATATTTATGATACGTTGAAAGTACTATTTTAATAATGGGTATATGTCCCAAAATTAAATTGATGAAACAAAAATCAGTTGTACATGTCACTGTAACACTATATAAAGAAATTATTAAAGAGAAATGCTTAGAATAAAGGGGAAACCAAAGTTCTTAAAATCATTCACAGTATAATTTATTGCATCTATCCATCCTTCTATCCTTTTATTAAGCTACCTTGTTTTTGAAATATATTTCAAAGAAATCCTTGTATAGTTTTAAAGGGATTTCTTCCCCCCTCCCCAACACACATTTATAAACATTAAGTGTTTGCATTATTGCAGTAGTTTGAAATGAGTTTAGTCAAAAAGTTTTGCTACTTAGGTTTTACTTCATGCCTGCAGCAGTTTATTCCAAACAAAAATGTGTTCGTGTCTCTGTGGTCAGTTGATGCTGCAGGCAAGTAAGTACCCTTGGTTTAATCTTGATAGTGTTCCTTCAACCAGAAGTTCCCATCAAAACACCCTCTCAGAGGACCTGATGAGCCCATTCAATTCAAGGCGGAGAGATGAGTTTTGTTTTAATTTGCCTTAATATAAATACGGAAATATATGATTACGCTGGTTTTTTTATTAAAAAAAGGTTTTGAGATTTAAAAGAGGTAATCTTGAAGGACGGGATAATCAAGGGGGCTTATGACAATGAAGTGTTAAGACAACTGAGGAAAAGGTCAAGGATTTTTTTTCATATCACAGAAATGCACCTGTTCCTTCTTTGAGGACAGCAAGGGTTATCCTACAAGAATTTTGTTGGGAAGCCCTAGTCTTGCCTCTTCTTTTGTTCTCAAAGAACATTGAGAAGAAACACAATTTGGGGCCCTTAGAGAATGTTAAGACAGCCCCTTTTGATGTGGTGTACATTGACACGCACAGAATCTTGGAGAAGGCCTAAGGAGATGAACTCCCTGTCTCAGAAGTCTGTAGATCCTGATGGCAGGGTCTGTTGAGAAATTGTAGCTTCACGTTTTTATATACATTTGTTTAATAAAGGTTTCTTTGATTTTATAACAATACTGTTAAAACTTACCCTTCTGACTTGTACCAACCCTACATAGTTAGAGTTTGCAAGGCTTTTACATTACATTGTATTAGTTTAACTTTCCTTAATCATTCACGGTATCTAGCTCTGTAGCAGTTTTTAATCAGCTGCCATGTTTTCAATGCCCATGTATTTCAGCCCTTCCTTTTTTTTGATGGTCTTTTTTTTTTTAATCATCTTACCGGGTATTATACCATCCCGTACATCAAGCAGTATTGTACAATTGCTACCACAATCTGTTTCAAAACACTTTATTTTTTGAACTCCTTGATATCAGCACCCCGTTATCACCTCTCTGCCCCATATTTATTTATTTGTTTGTTTGTTGCCGTATTTTATACACATTTACATACAATTCTGTTGTTCGCTCCGCTCAAGTGGGATCTGCAGTTTTTATTAGGATGCTGTCTCACTCACACCAAATTTGTTACATCCTACCAGAGTGTATTACCAAAATCTTGTTTTCTTTGGTTCCTTAGTATTCTACTATTCAAATTATTCATCCTTATTAGGCTAGGCTAGTCCTAAATATTTCTTCCTTGTCTTTTTAAATTTATACCAGTTATAATGATATAAACATTTCTTTTGTAGTTATTAGCAACTCAGATTGCGTGGAGTATTTGAAAATTTTAAAATAATTTTGATTTTGCTTCTATAAAACTTTATAGATGTGGTTTTTCTAATTAATGTAAATGAAAAGTACTCCTTTAAAATTTTTTTTCAGCAAAAATTATTTAACAACCATTAAGATTAATAACTAGTGTACTATATAGACATTTGAATTGTGTATTTTTCAGTGTCAAAGTTCGATCAGCTGCTGCTACCTGTTTGAAAAGCATTTTAGCCACGAAGACTGGACATAATTTCTGGGAGGTATACAAGACAACGACTGATCCCATGCTCGCCTATCTGCAGCCTTTCAGAGCATCAAGAAAAAAGGTATCTCAAGTTGTAAATATTTATTGAAAGCCCGCTATACCTGCAGCAGTTCTGTTTACTGAGGGCTGAAAGTGTTGAGTGACTTCTAGTCCCATTGCATTGTCATTTAACTTTGTCCTAGAAATACTGCAAACTGCCTCTTGAATCTAAGTGATTTATTCTTTTTAATGATGGCAGTGTGGAAAAACGGGGGTAGGTAACCTACAGGAGTGACGGTTGATTAGAGGAGGCCTGTTGTTAATGAGAGGCAGCTGGCCTGTTTTCTTAGGAGTGGCAGAACCCTTCCTTGGATCCCGTGTATTTCACTGGTCCTGAGTATGATAGAGGTTTGCTGATCAACGAGGGAGTGTTTGCTTCCATGGTGACCTAAAGTATCACAGTCCTGCAGTGAAGTATCAGATGGGAGCCTATAGATTTCTCCTCTTTGCATGTTGATATCATACTTGTCCCACTGAAGGAACACTGAACGATGCTTGATGGTCATTGTTTCCTCTCTAGTCTAAGCATTCCACTTGAACATGTTCTTAAGAGTTACAGAGACGGGGAGTAGCAAGATCCCCAGGGAATGATGAGGGTGGACATTGGAGACAGAGCATGGTGCCCCAACAGGCTAGACTGGAAAACACAAGTTTTTCTTGCTTGGTATATTTTAATTTGTTCTTCTTCAGTGGATTGATGTTGTTGCTGTTTTGTTGTACATTGTTGCTTGGTTTTGCTCTGTCTTGTTTTTATGCATGTTGTCTCCGCAGGCCTGTCTGGATAGGACAGGCTGGATGAACAATCTGGAGGAGAAAACAACGGGACTGACAGTTCCGGGGGGACATGAGAGAGGGGGAGGAGGGGGGAAGGGAAGAGGGGATAACAAACCCAGGGACAAGGGAACAACAAGCGATCCAAATTGGTGGGGAGGTGGGTGTGGGAGACCTGGTAGGGCAGGATCAAGAGGAAGGTAACAAAGAGGAAGTGCTGAAATCCTAGTGGGGACTGAGCATGATAGTGGGACAGGAGGAGAATCAATGGAAATAGAGGAAAGAGCTGGGAGGCAAAGGGCATTTATAGAGCTCTAGATAAAGACATGTACATATGCAAATATATTATATGAGGATGGGGAAGTAGATCTATGAGCCTACATTTATAGGTTTAGTATTAAGGTAGCAGAAGGATATTGGGCCTCCACTCAAGTACTCCCTCAACACAAGAATACTTTCTTCTAGTAAATTGGCATTCTATGATGCTCACCTTCCCGACACAACCGCTGAAGACAAAGCAGGTGAATAAGCAAATGTGGTGAAGAAAGCTGATGGTGCCCTGCTATCAAAAGATATAGCGTCTGGGGTCTTAAAAGCTTGAAGGTAAACAAGCGGCCATCTAGCTCAGAAGCAACAAAGCCCACATGGAACAACATATCAACCTGTGTGATCACGGGGTGTCCAACGGATCACTGAAGACAGAGGGGTGCATAAGCAAATGTGGTGAAGAAAGCTGATGGTGCCCAGCTGTCAAAAAGTATAGCATCTGGGGTCTTAAAGGCTTGAAGGTAATCAAGCGGCCATCAAGCTCAGAAGCAACAAAGCCCACAGGGAAGAAACACACCAGGCTATGCAACCACGAGGTGTCGAAGGGATCAGGTGTAAGGCATCATCAGAACAAAAAATCTTACCATAGTGAATGATGGGGGGAGTGCGGAGTGGAGATCCAAAGCCCATTAGTAGGCCGCTGGAGATCCCCTGGCAGTTGGGTCTCGGGGAGGAGATGAGCCAGTCAGGGTGCGATTTAACAATGATGAGAAATACAACCTTCCTCTAGTTCCTAAATGTTTCCTCCCCGCTCCCACCACCATGACTCGAATTTGATCTAGCAAGTCTGGCTAGACCAGAGGAGGTACACTGGTACAGATAGGAACTGAAAATACAGGGAATCCAGGACGGATGAGCCCTATAGGACCAGTGGTGTGAGTGGCAAAACAGGGAGGGTAAAGGGAGAATGGGTAGGAAAGAGGGAACCGATTACATGGAACTGTGTGTGACCTTCTCCCTGGGGGACAGACAACCGAATAGTGGGTGAAGGGAGACGTCGGACAGGGCAAGATATGACAAAATACCCATTTATAAACTATCAAGGGCTAATGAGGGAGGGGGGAGCGGGGAGGGAGGGGAAAAATGAGGACCTAATGTCGGGGGTTTAAGTGGAGAGAAAATGTTTTGAGAAACGATGTACAAATGCGCTTTACACAATTGATGTGTGTATGGATTGGGATAACAGTTGTATGAGCCCCTAATAAAATGTTAAAAAAATAAAATAAAAAGAGTTACAGAGACATGTACATCCGACTTTTCATCAGTTAATTTCAGAACATATACCCATTATTGAGTAATACTTTCAATGTATCATTATAAAGTTGTCCTGATGGAACTGCTAATAATACAACTGTTAATGGAACTAGTGGGTAGTTTATAAGGCACTGTGGTCTTAGCGTTGTCACATCTCACTTCATGTGGGTCAGTGCTGCGTGGCAGACTTGGACTGCTTTCACAGTGGAGAGAGAGGAGGCCGTCAGTGAGTCTTTTCATCTGCTACTGACGAGTGGCTCAGAGTAGCCCCCACGTTTCCTGCGGGGTGGTTTTTCACCGTCTCCCTCTGCTTCTCCTAGACGCAAAAATGTATTTTGATTTCAAAGGATAACTATTGCTTCCAAGTTTAGTTTTAACTGTATTTAATTATATTTGGAAGCAAGTTTGTTCATCCAAATCCTCACATAGAGAAGTAAAATAGACTTCTAACGATCTCCTAAACATTCTGATCGCTCTCTAGTTTTTAGAAGTACCCAGACTGGACAGAAGAAGTCCTTTCGAAGACCTGGATGAGACAAGTTTGTGGATTCCTCAAAACGGAAATCATGATGTTTGGATAAAAACACTGACTTGTGCTTTTTTGGACAGTGGAGGCATAAAAAGTGAAGTTCTTCAGTTGCTAAAGCCCATGTGTGAAGTAAGAAAACATGGAAGCAGCGTGCTTCATCCTTTTCTCCTTTGCGCTTTTCATTTCCGCTTCTTTACACGGCTTCGTTTTCCCACTCCCTTCAGCTGCTGTGAACATGTGCGTGGCCTTTGCCTCTGAACGAGGACGGTGGCACTACACGGCATCTTCACGCAGCTTCACCCAGACTCCGCGGGCCCTCCCTTCAGCTTTCCTATTATGCAGCAGCAGCTTCACACTGCATGAGTTATTGTTAAAGGTTCAAGTACAGTTTACTTCAGTACAGAGCAATAATACCTACCAAATTTGTCTTTAAGTTTGAAAAGGACAAAGTGTGCAGTTGTTAATTTGTTTTAAACCTAAACTGTTTATATTTTTAACACTTTTCTGCCTGTGTTTATAGTAGTGATATTATTTTATCTGGTACACCTAGTGGGGTTTTTTGTTAGTGGTACATTGAATTCAAGGTGGACTCTTTTGTCATTTTTTTAAAAAGCCAATGTGTGAAAATCAGAGAATGGAAATTTTAAATAAAAATATTATCTTCAACCAAACTATTACCTGAATGTTTGTGTGTATTTTAGGTGGAAAGTGACTTTTGTCAGACTGTGCTACCGTACTTGATTCATGATATTTTGCTGCAAGATACAAGTGAGTGCTGGAGGAATCTGCTGTCTGTGCATATTCAGGGATTCTTCAGCAGTTCTTTCAGACAGTCCTCACAAACCAGCAGGTCCACCACCCCGGCAAACTTGGATTCGGGTACGTGGCTCACATTGATTCTATTGACTTCTCGGTTTTCCAGGAAGATTTTAGTTTGGATGTCATGAAGGCAGCTTTCTGAGCCAATCCCACAGCCTGGATTTCTGTTTCCTGTTGTATAGAAGAGACATCGTAAAGGTTGTAGCGTATTTTCCATGACATGAATGCGCACCACCATTAGGATACTAGCTGTTTGTTCTGCCACCTCGTAAATGTTGGCTATTAATAATGCCACTCAGTGAGAATTCACCTCGTGTCAGGCATTGTGAACAAGATGCAGTCCATGTGGGCTGTGCGCGTACATCCTAGCTATGTATATCACAGATGCTGTGCCAGCTTTCCATCGCTGGCCATCCGTAATGCTTTCTGTCTGTCTGCTTTGGCACAATTGAAATGCTTCTCATTTTCAAGTACGTTCTTCCAGCAATCTCAGACACTGCTACTCTTGCCTGCAACACTCTCCTCTCCTCTTCAGATTCGTTCGGACTCTTTCAGAGACTTTTCTTTCTGTGAAAGTCTGCTTGTGCGGATTAGATTTCTTCCTATGTGCACTTGGAGCATTTTAAACATCCCCGATCATAGCACTTGTCACATGGCTAAGACTTCCCCAGACTGATTGTGAGTCCTATGTGATTGGAAATAATCTGTTTTATCCATGATTGTATACTGAGCACTTAGCAGTATAAAAAAGTCCTAAATAAAGGATTATTAAATGAATAAATTATTCCCCCTTCAGAAATACAATGTAAAATCTGATATTTTTAAAGTAAACTTATTATTTTTAAAAAGAAACAGTATTGGCATTTAGTACATGTATCAATTCATGTTTATTCAGATCTAAGTGTGTGCTTGGAACTGCACACAAACCTTGTAATGCAGAGAAAGCACCACATAGAAAAGGACTATGCTTAGTCAGTCTGCCTGGGACTGACGGTGCTGCCTTTGTGTCTTTGTCAGACTCAGAACACTTTGTCCGAGGCGGTTTGGATAAGAAATCACAAAGAACTATGCTTGCTGTTGTGGACTACATGAGAAGACAGAAGCGGTAATAGATGTTGTTTCTTGACTTGGGAGGTGTACAAGTACAGCTTGTTACTGCTGCTCTTTAACCTGCTCAGTGGGGTCAGGCTGCTGACAAATGCTCTCTTTAATTTCTGTGAGGATTATATTTCCCTTTAGTAAGTCCGATTTTGGGGAGCAGTTTGGTTCGCTCAGTGTCGGGAACTGTGACTTTCAGTCTCCGCAGGACCAGTAACAAGCCAACGTTTGCCAGACCGATGGTGGCAGCTTAGGAAAGGATGAAAGCAAGAGTTGGGGCGAGATGTGAAAATGCATTTTAACTAATGATTTCCTCTGTCCCTCGCAGAGTCCTTGTTTCTGTCTAGAAAGTTAACTGTTTTATTTGCTTATATTATACCAGATCTTCGTCCGAGAGAGCCCATCAAAAAGTTTGCTATAACTAGAAGAATCTCTTTTCTTGGGTCCGGGAGGCCGTTTCACTTCAGAGTCATTCATTTCAAATTTATCATTGGGATAGAAAAGTGGTGACATTATCAGGATTTAGAAGGGATGCAAATTCTTAATGTTAAACAAGACCTGAAAGAAGAGTCCTTGAGAAAATAGGAATAGGACATAGAGGAACAGCAAAGGGACTGACTTCAGACCCAAGTTTGACCGTTGGAAGCTTTGTGATCTCAACAAGTTACCTATTGTCTTACCCCCTTTGACCAACAAGATGGATATGGTAATGAGGACTCTAATGTTGAATGCCTGGCATTCCTTTCCCTGCACAAGTTATCTAAATTCTCTGAACTTGAGGATCCTCAGAAATAATAACAACAAATAAGGGGTTGCGTTGGGTTACCAACCGCAGAGTTAGCCGTTCAAACTCCTCAGACCCTGTGCTAGTACAGATTGTCGACTCTCGGAAGCCCTGCACGGGTCAGAATCAGCTCGACGGCAGTGGGTTTGGTTTCAGTAGGTGCTTTTTCATCAATTGTACAAATATTGTTTGATCGTGGCAATGACCCTGAAATGTATGCTGTTTTTGTTTTTTTGAGATGAGGAAATGGAGACTTAGAAAAGTTACGCAGAATCACACAGCTAGTTTAAACCTAAGTGTTTCCTGCGCTGAAGCCCATGTTCTGAACCAGTACCGTGCCATATCTCTATAGTTTAGTTTTGACAAAGATATTTCCATGAGCCTTTCTTCCTCTGTGTCTGTATACACTTGGGTTTGTTCGTGCATCAGCAAATTCACTTGAATGCATATACCCTGCAGTAGATTTTTTTTTAATAGCTCAGCCCAGACAGTAAGCTAAGGTGAAAATGAGCTGTAGCAGGAACGAGATGTACTGCCTTGTATGAAAGCCTAAGTATATCCATTGCATTGATTGTGTGCCTTTTGTTAGTGTTTCTGCAAAACCTATTCTTAGCCTCTGGTCTGTTGATCCCATGGTGAAGGGCGAGTTTGCTTCTCAACTATGTGTAGAATGATAGTCAAACATCTTCATTAGAGTCTCTTGAGAGGTTTGTGACCCCCAAAGGCTGAGAAATAGGGCTAGTCAACTATCCATACAGGAATATTTATGCAGTCAATTCTCTTTATATGTGGTAGCATTATATATAGCCTTACTGCTAAGACTGAATTAATGAGTACTAACATACTGCTCCCAGGGGAAATTCAGAGTTAGCTTCTGGTGAACCTCTGATTATAATAGTGCACTAATCAATATATAGCCTT